GGCGAGTGCAAGAAGCGCGAAAAAAATAAGCCGGCTGCTGGTGACACCCAGACGACGGACTTGGCTGCTTCCCCCATCGCAGAGCAGGTGTCCTCACAGCTGAGAGTATCCACAAAAAAGGCATTTCCAGACCATCTTGTCTCATTGCTGGCTTATTCAATCGACGTAAGTTCCTTTCGTCCTGAAGGGACAAATTCTTCCTGTTTTTGCCTATCCTCTAGGTTGAACTGACAAAAAATGGGTGCAAAAATGTGATTAATTATTTTTTATGGCCGACCCTTGCCGAGGTCGGCCGAGCTTAGGTCTACGGGCACCTTATCAAGCCTTATTTGCTTTAAAACCATAATGATAATCTGTTTATTTGCTGGTTTTTCGATTAAATTGTAGAGGATGTGTTTAATCGAGTTCGGACCTTTCTTCCGGCACTAAAGATCGCAGCGTGTGTTCTTACTCTTTCCTTTAGCTTCATATCAACTTACATTTTGATGTTCATAGACATTATATAAGAAAATGCCAGGAAGGCTATGGCGTAGGTATCTTTCTTATTTCTGAGGCCAAGCGCTAATTTCCAGGGATATTAGGGTTAGGCTTAAAGTCGGGTTATGGTTAGGATTCAGTCTACAGTTAGGGGTAAGGTTTGGGTTAGCTTTGGTATTATGGTTAAGACGTAGACATACTTACAGGGGGGGAGGGGGTTGACTTCTATTCCCGTGTCTTACTAGAGCACCTATTTGAGGGCATAAAACGCCCTGTTTTGTAGGTGCACTCAATCGACTGTATTCGTTTTATAGAGGATAACATTATCGCAGAAGACCAGGTAGACTGGAATGTCCATTGCTGGTTTATTAGCCATGATCAACTAGCCATACCTAACCCCCGGCGTTGACGTTCCAGCTGCCAGCCTGTTGATTAGAAGTCCAGCGCCCTAACCGTCGAGCCACGGTGGTCGTGGTCTTGCAGGTTTAGATCGGAGATACTCACATTGGTGTATGGGTGTTCACCGATCGGTTATTGTACTAACCGTGCCGTTCTGTCTTGGGGTTTACTTTCGAGCCTCACAAGCAGCCACACAGTAGCTAGTCGTATAGCCAAGAGAACACTACCAGAACTGACCATTCCAGTCTCCATGGTCTTCGTCAGTAATTTTCTCCTGCCTTTACTATTAGCCGCTGTGCGACAGCTGAAGGTACCCGGGAGTGAACCCCAGGGCAGGACGAGACGAGTGATTTCCGTAACCAATGTGTGCTCTCTTAATATTCATCACTGTTTTCACCCACCGGAGTTTTTGCGTAGAACTGTGAGCTTACGTGAGTCTTGCTCCCAGGGCGTGTGTCCTCGGTCGCCTGTAGCCAATCAGTGAACTAATGTAATTTGATTGGCTGTGTTTCGCAAGAAATGTTTTTCAGGTGACGAGCTCGGTGCCGCAACGGATCAGGCTCATTAACCGAGGTTCCACTGTCTTTACTAATTGAAAAATACAGGGCAAATTTCCCTCCAGATCCCGATCAAAGCTACTTCCAACCAGGCCGGGTTACGCGGGTAGATTTTCGGCGATGCTTTTTGTTGAAAGTTTTCGGAACTTACTCAATTGAACTGATGTTTGCTCATAGCGCTGCCCAAGAAAGGATTCATTGACCGTGGTCTTATTAAGCATTTCAGCAAATTCACTCGACAAAGACCTGAGTTGTCATCCTGCTCCTCTCTGAATGGTGATACGTGTCTTAGACGGGGGAACATTACGGTCAAAGACTATGGGTGCACCAGGCGAGACTCGAACCCGCGACCTATTGATTAGGAGTCCAAAGCTCTAACCGTCGAGCCACGGGCTCGTGGTCTTGTCGGGTTAGATCGAGAAACATTCACATATGGGTGCATATGCGTTCACCGATCGGTTGCTGTGCGCCTGCTGGAAGGGTTCGAGAGTGAGTCCGAAGGTAACTTCCTCTCAAATAGCAACGAAAACAGTAAGCAGTTTAAAGCGGCGGGAAAGTTATCGAGTTGTTATGCGGATACATGCTATACTTTTGGACGTACGTCAGCTAGGCAGAACCGAAGTGGTCTCGGAGGTCCCATTCACTTCCTGAAACCTAGTAATCCAGTTCTCGTGACGGCGGAATGCCTCAGTGGCTGCAGATCGTGATTGTTCCCTTGGTTAAAGCACACATTTCGTCGTTCACTCAAGCCAACGCCGCCTGTTTCCGTATTTTTAGTAAGTATTTTGGTGGTGAATAGAAAAAACGTCAGCCTATTCTTATTTTCTAGGACTTTATCTTTATACTTTGGCTTTTCTAACGACGGTCCAAGTTGCTTCGTTTATATCCCTTTTCACATTGTGTGCCCTGGTTTTTGTGTGTTTGCGGGAAGACCACTTTCTTTTGGAGACCCTTCTGTTTTTTGTTTCAGAACAACATGACGTCTTCTGCAAAATGCATATCGTCGGTCGAGCAAGATTTCAAGTCCCAGTGTGAAAAAATGAGCTGTGATCTCTCAAACTTCGGTTGCATCGACAGACTTCTAAAGGAGTCAGAAGCTCTGGCTATGGAGTGATGAACTATCCATTACGTTTATCACTCACTCAGTCACGAGCGCAGAAGACACAACGAGGATTAGTTGTCAGTCTTTCAAAATCCAAAGCACGCACTTCTTCATTCAACTTTTTCTTAAAGCTCTTCTTTTTTACTCGCCAGTAACCCGACATTGCCTGTGATATTTTGCAAGCGTAATACTTTTTGTCTAAATAAATTTACTATTTTGGACGGAAGTCCCTTGTTTCTGTGTGGTTATCCTCCGGATTGCCTTTCTTGGTATCTTTCAAAACGAAATTCCATTATTTAACGGATTTGTAGAATTGTTATTATTACGTAGGGTTTCTGCAGAACTCCCCCTTGAATGCGTGCAGCCGTCTTGGCTCATGGGACGTAGACGCCGAATGACGCTATGGTCCTTTGAAAAGTGAAACAATTTGGGCCTTTCAAGAGACGACTCGTAAATTCGGCTGAAGCTAGTAGGTTCTACCATGTCGTCTTTGCTGGATTATCCACAGGTCATGCTTATTCTTCGTTAGTCAGGATAGCAAACCTTTCAGTGTCAGAAGTCGGGAGCTTGATCTAACTCCCACATCTCTATTAACCACCTGTTGCATTTAAGCAAATGTTGGCTTATATTAACTGAAGATTCCCTTTTGATGCTGCTCTTCTAGGCCCTGACACGAGCGGGGTATTCTGCTGAGGACACTGGGAATTCTCTTAGTGTCTATTTCGTGCAATTGGCCTGAACAGCCTTCTGAAAACTGTCACTGACACGGCAAAGGAAATGATTAGATGTTCTCACCTTGAAAACACGCTCTCACAGGTACCACCAGCTGTCTTCGAACTGAAGACGTGGGCGCATTAAGTTAGCTGTTGCGAATTCGTGCTGGAGATATTTGGTGTGGAGATCGGTAACGATTGTGTCTTGGTTAGCCTGTTTGTGCGTGTCGAATTCAAGC